TGTTGGGCGACAGACCGATGGGGTCACCACCGTCGGGACTTTTTGAGGGGTGGGACGAGCCAAAACAGGCCCTAATTCAGCAGTAGAAGGGGACAAATCGTTAGTGACAAAGTAGCTAAAAGCCGCCCAACATCAGTGAAGAAGCAGAAATTCTTTGGCAACACCAGAGCATCCTCACCTTGTTGCGCATCACTATCATCCATGGGCCCATGGACAGAGGCGTCATCGATAAAGAACCCTCCCTCTGACTGATCATCGTCGTTGTCGAAACCCAGCATCTTTAGCTCTGATCTTTCTAGCTAGCTACGCTTCCTTGGAGACTTCCCAGCTGCAATGATAGATCCTCTTTGAAACTCTTGGCTTTCGGTCTCTGAAGATGGATGATGATCTTTATTACTTGAACAGAAAGAGGCTTCCGCACATAGAAAACAGAGTCTGATGCTGCTGCGGCCGCTCCAACAAAAATAAATAGTCTCAATGTCTCGATGTTGATGGCGGGCAATTGGGCTTTGCGATTGCTGCTTGAAGCCAGAAATGGAAAACATCTGCCTGGGACATTCAGTTGGAGGAGGCAAGGTGTTTTCAGCTTGCAAGTCACCATCAACGAACACCATCAACACCCGACAACAGGCTCAGTATAAAATTTGTGTACACAAGGGGCGACCAAAAGCTTTTCCTCTCTGACATCATTTGTTGTCTTGCAGACACAAGTGCCTTCTGGGTTCTAGGGGTGGCTGGATTTAGAATAAACACGGTTACCGGTACTCAATATCACAGTGATGATGTCACAGACTCTGCAATAATAATTTTTTCTTCTTCAATTACAAACTAGCAGAGCGGATTGACACTCCAATTTAGAGTGTCACATTTTGTTTCCGGAATCCAGGTTGGGCAGATTTCTGGTTTTTTACAGACTAACTACACATGTATACCGTGTACGTGAAAATGATCTTTTGTTGCTGCTGTGAATTGATAGCTCTTTTTTTTGGCTGATTTATTATGGCATTGTCACACAGGTTTGTAACTGCAACTCCATCCTTTGGATGTGGTTGTCGCGCAGTTGCCAAACTTGAAGCCTGCATCACATTCTTTTTTTAAAACAGCTTTGCGTTGTTATAAATAGTGGCAGTGACGCAGCCACATAGAAGACAGCTTCGGTAATCCGGTAGATGCGGTAATAAATATTTTATGCAGAGTAAGCTAAATCTTTAACCCTATTGTTACCACATCTTCTTTTCTGCACAGTTTCCTTATGTAGCCTTACAGTACTAGCTAGCTAGCTAGTACATTGTATGTGGACTGTGGCATACGTTCGTGCTCATGACTGGCTCATATTTTCATTCCCTAGCCTCCGCCACCCAAACTGACTCATCTCTTGTTGTCACACACCCAAACTGACTCCCAACTGACTCATCTCTTGTTGTCAACGTTCCATCGACTTGTTGTCGACAACCACGGCCGACAACCTCCACTCATCATCAGCCGACAACCACTGCTGCGCTTCCAACAGCAACACTCACAACGTCTCCAGAGGCAAGAAGCCAAAAGGACAGAATTGGAGGCATGGGCAGCAGCAGCAGCCTTGGCATTAGTATCCGATCTCTTGATTGGCTCTGACAACATCATCATTGTGATGTTGTCAGTAATTCATTCATTCAACACCCAACCACAACCACGAAAAAAAACTCTACATGGCTCGATAGCCAGGCCTTGGACGATCAGCAAACTCATCATTCTCAGCGTCACTTTCGTCGTCTTTATTATTGTTGCTTGTGGCTCTGTTATACACTGAGGAAGCCCTGTTGTTGAGGGTAGCCACAGGGGTTGGAGGATTCGGCAGAGGTGGATTGTTATTAATGTTTTGGTTCATTCTCAAGGCATCATTGTGAAGATCAACAATACCCATGGCATGATGGGACCTTGTCGCCAAGTTTGGAAAGGACCAATCCTGCCTCTCGATGCCTCGAAGCTCCCAATCCTCTCTTGCCAAGCCAAAAAAGGAGGTGTTATGGTAGCGGACAAAGCAAGTGATCTTGTTATCTACCACTGGTTCCTTGTTCTTCCTCTTCGGCGCTTCAACAAAATGCAATGCCTTGTTGCACTTCTTGCAGAGATAGGAGCAGCTTTCACCACACACAACACAGATTTTGGTTTTGTTATTTGGTAGCCTCTCAACAGTTGCAATGTGAGCACACAAACCATCCAGTCTGCCACAGAGTCTTCCACTGGCGTCATAAAGATCTTTTGGTGTCATTGTGGAAGTGGTGGAGTTATAAGGAGTTGCAGCATTGGCTCTTTTTTTCGTGGCATTACCAGAAGACCTTGGTGGAGAAGACTTGCTCCGTTTTCGAGATGTCTTGTTTTGTGGAGACTCGAAAGTTCTCATCGCCTGGATAGTTTCGGTGTGTTAAACTGCGAGAAGGCCCCATGGATGGGAAAACCAGCCGACAAGACTGATGGAGACGCTGGCGAAGAGAAGACCGAAGCTGCTCCCGAGAAAAGGACGACACCAAGACCGAAGACCCTGCCGACATGAAGATTGAGCACGCACTGGTTCACTGGAGACGATGACACCGAATCCAATGATGACTCAGCAATGGAGGAAGAAAAGGAGAAGGGACACAAGGTTTTTTGAATGCTTTGGCTACTACGAGAACAGAGATGTTGAAGGCATTGATAACAATGTCAAGTTTCAACCAGTCCTTGGCGTCTCTCCAGCTTGTGAAGACTGGAGGGTCATGATCCCATCTCTGCCCATTGTACCAGGCACTGTATAATAATATTAAAACGCAACCAATCCCTATACAATTATTGTCAACATTTTCATCCATCCACCCTGTAGCACATACATTTCGTAAATCTGTGTGGAGTTGCTGGCTGCTTCTTCCTCCATTCAACCTTGTTTGGTGCTTGCTAGCTAGCGTTGCAACAAGCAAACGTCAGATTGTGATGGAATACAAGTTGGATTGAGATTGGCCCGATCCTGTTCGGTGGGATACCGTGCCACATAGTCACAGATAAGGATGAAATCTGCTCCACCATCGGCATGATTGGCACCGATCAGCGCAAAGAAACTGTCCTCTGCCACCACGACTGTTCCACCACCAAGGAAGCTGTTTTCCACAAAGCATGAGTTCTTGAGAATGAGATTCGTGTTGGGGTAGGCATGGATGGCGTATCCGATGGGCTGTGTTTTCATGGCGAAAGTGCAGCAGCAAAGAAACAAGGAAGTGAGCCAGCCAGCTGTGAAGAAGCAATCACAAGAGCGTTCTGGCAAGCTAAGGCGTGCTCATTGTTGTACTTACGGCATTGATAGGGTTCCTGTAGGTTTTCGCCAGCGTCCAAGTATGGTATGAAGGACGAACACATTGAGAGACAGTCCAGGACTGGAGAGTCATGTTGATTGAACTACTTACCCGTATTGATTTTGGGTGAACAAACAACTGTCAACTGTCACCTTCGTGTATGCATCCCCTCTGATTGTCATGACACCGAATTCGATTCCTAATCCCCGGGCTGCTTGAGTGTTATTCTGTATTGTTCATTGTAAGTGTGACACGTGAGTATGGTGAGGTTGCCTTGCGTTGACGTACCAATAGATAGCCACGGATGGACTGGGAAAGCATTTTGACACATTACCAGTTGGACAGCTCAAGCAAACTCACCGAAAAGAGACTGCTGGAAAAGGTGACATCGAGGTTTTGGGCATCGTCGAGGACCTCAGACTCATAGTTCACGAAAACTGGACCGAGGTTCTCTTGATCCTACCGGCCACCGACAGCAGAGAAGAAAGTCCAGCAAGGAAAAGTGCCCAACAGGTGAGAAGACCTCACGAACAGGCAACATTCTTGCACGCTTTGTAGCTTTGTAGCTAGACCCTATCAGCCAACATAGCTAGTTGTAGACAAAGTGGAGGCAATGGGAGCAAACACGTGACGGCTACGTACCCTCACAATACAGTCTTCGTAGATGATGTCTCCCGGCATGCCAAGGAAGATTCCGTATTGCTCCTGTCGCTCAAATGTGATTCCCTTGAGAACGACATTGTCGACGGCCTGATCGTTTCGAAAAAAGATCGGAACCGACATCATCCCAAAGTCTCCTCCGCGAATGATGCAGTTGTTCGCAGAGCTTCCTATTGTGTGTGTGTGCGTGCGTGCGTGCGTGGAGACAAGAGAGAGAAAAGTTGAGCCAATGGACAAAGTTTCGTCAAGAATCGAATCGCAAGCAAGATCGTACCATCTTCGCCGCACGAGTACTCCGTATTGGATCGCGGGATTAATGGAAATTGACCTCCGGTGATACCTTCTCCCGGCACCAAGAAGCCGGCGTCAAAGATCGTATTGGGACAAAGTACGAAACGCTTGGGTTCATCAACCTTACTGTCGTCACCGATTTCCTCGTATATGGAGGTCAAATTGTCGTAGCAGTCTTGTGCGAAGCCGGTCGCGAACAGTAAAAAGAGAGCAGCAATGCGGATCATGGTTTCTTTCTCTATCGATGTTATTTGGAGTTTCAATCAATCAACGCAATGTGAAGGTAAAATGAATGCAATGGGCTACAATTCAAAAGAATCGGAATTGTAAGCATGATTGTTGATCGCCATCTTCGTGTGCCAAATATTCCTACCATGCCCAATTTCCATCATCAGTTTCGTCCTCCTCAAACAAAATGTGAGCATTCGTCCAGCAAATTGCTGGGAGACTTCCAGGCTTTAATCTCGGTCATAGAGTGACAACATTTGTTAAACGAAGGACATTGGGAAATGACTAAGTCATCAAATTGGTTAAATCCTGGCGTTCCTTTTTAATAAGGTTTTGGAAGCGTTCTTATTTTTATTCTTGGACATTTAGAGTTTGAAGGCTGTTTGAATGACTATTCATTAAATCCTAGCGCGTATAATTTGCGCTTTGCGTCTTGCTTTCTTTTTAAAAGACCTTTGATGACCGCACTCAGGCTGCGAGTGTGAACCTCACCTGATCACGTCTCTGGAAGTCTGGAACTGATGGGAGAAAAAGCAACAGCCGAACATGTACAGTACTCAGCCTCGAGAAGTGAGAAACGTGACTATTAGCCCTGGCTGTTTGTGCCATCATACAATCTTCCCTGTTTGTTGCCGTACTGTTGTCGGCAACCACGATGATAATGACAATGGAATCGAGTGGTGTGACAACAAGCGATCCTCAAAAGTCCAGCAACTTTGTCCCTCCGACTCCTCGACGCACCCGATCGCATCGACGAGGTTCTATGGATGGTGCTTCCATCACGGCCACTCCCAAGCGACCTTCAAAGAATGGTGGAGGCACGACTACTACTACTATGTGTGATGACGACGGCCGGCCCATGTTGTTGCCCATGAACACTCCTCGAGGAGGGCGAAGACGGCCTTCGGACATTGCAAGAGGTTCCAAGACTCCACGAAAACTGAGACGGGCCAAATCGGTCGATTCCATGGAAGAGCCACTACCACCACAGCCGCCACAAGTAGAACTACTGGAAGGCAACAACCATAGCAGACACAAGAAAACACGCTTGCGACGCATGAAATCAGCCGATGATGAACCGAATGGCACAGTCGTCACAGCTGCGAACAGTACAACCACAACCAACAAATCTCTGCAAGGCTTGGCAGGATCGTTGCAGCTCGTAGCCGACAATGCAGGGTCACGATTGATGAAGGGAGCTGCTGACGATGACGACAACAGTTGTGTCTTGAGTGTCGCCGAATTGAGTCAATCGGCCATGTCCGTCAATAGTCGCGCCGTCGAAGAAGAAGCCAAACATCAAGTCACTACTACTACTACTACTGCTCCACCGTCGGTCATACGGAAAGGAAGACGCAACTCGCTTGGAGGAGCCCCCAAGACTCCTCTCAAAAAACAAATCTCTAGTAGCAACGGAATGACGCCCAAGACGCCATTGAGGAAACAGAATTCGACTCGAAGCAGCAATGGCATGGTCCCCAAAACTCCTCTCAGAAAGCAGAGTTCTAGCAGCAATGGCATGGCAACCAAGACTCCACTGAAAAAGCAAAACTCAAGCTCTCCCCTCAGAAAGCAAGAATCTTCCGGCAACGCCATGACACCAGCACCAGCACTCAAGAAACAAAATTCCATTACAATCACTAGCGACGATTCACCTGAAAATGACACAATTGATAACGACAACCACGACCACCATCCTCCACCACAGCAACAGCAACAGCAACAGCCACAAGACAGGAACCAGAGCTCCAAGCACATTTATGGAAATAGCAGTCACCATGATTCGGATCACAGAGGTGGATTGCAATTACCGCATCATCTCAATGCCACCAAGCATCAATTGACACAGCAAGATGACGATGCAACCTATGATGGCATTGACAGCTTTCACAATGCATCTGCTTCGAGTATTCCACAAGCTCAATTGCCACAGCCGCAAGAACTATTGCAGCCGCAAACGCCCCGACAATCACGACGACGAGACGAAAATCGGAGTAGTGATCCTGGCAACAGACCCAAAAGTCGAGACAGCAGCGGCAGCAACAGTCGAGCCCGTAGTCATTCCTCCAGTCGCGCCCGCAGTCGGACCCCAAGAGAGCATCGCAGCAGTGGCAATCATCATCATCATAAAGAACGAGATCATTCCGGAGGAAGCAAAAATTCGAGACGGTCCATGAAAGACTCCAGTCGCGGAGCCCGCGGTAGTCGAGATAGCAGGAAAGGAATGCGAGACGCCTCCAGTCGTAGCCTCAAGGATGCTTCCAGTCGAAGTCTAAAAGATGCATCGAGTCGAAGTTTGAAGGATGCCTCCAGTAGGAGCTTGCGTGACAACCACAACAACAACAAGTCCAGTTCCAGCGCCATGAAAGATGACAGCAGCGGCAACCATCATAGCGGCAGCAGCAAATCACCTTTGCGACACAATAGATCCCGTCATCATCAACGATCCCGATCCACGTCCAAACGACGCGTCATGGAAGATTCGTCCCGAGGACACTCAAAGCGAAAAGTCGTCGACAACGACGGGGATCAACGTCGCCATACGCTCTCACGGTCCATGTCCGCGTCGAGTCGAAGAGACGACGGAGGAGTGCGTCGCGGTTCCAAGCGTCCTTCCAACAGTAACAGCGCTAGTACCAGCCGACAACGATCGCCGTCCAAAGCCAGTGGACGCAGGGGATCGCCGTCGCCACTCAAACACAAACAACAACACGAAACCGAACACAGCAGTGCCACGCCACCGGGAGAAGAAACCAGCGAAATGTCCCGGTCCCTGCCACGAAGAACCAGAAGTTCCACCAGTCTCTCGGGATCAGCTCGACATCATCAACACCATCGATCGCAGTCTCGCAATCGAAGATCCTCCTCCAGAGATGCCAAAACCAATCGCCGAATGTCACGCGGGATGGATGATCGATCTGATCCAGTCCACAACAAGGCAAACTCCAACAAGCAACAACAACCACAACGCACGCATCGTCATTCCATCTCCACAGGCGGCTCTGCCATGGATTCGTCGTCGGATCGACGAAGCGCATCACGACGACGGCGAAGTATTAGTCGTCGCAATGATACCAATCATTCACCGCCAAGATTGCGCTTGGGACAAACCGCGGAATCGGCATTGGATCAATCGCTCAATTCGCTTCTCAGTGCCTACAATAATCATTCCGATCAAAATCAAAATCCACTAAAAGGAGGACCACAGGATTCCTTTTCCACGACGGGATCTGAATGGATGGAAGTACCATCAACGATCAATCCTCCATTCTCGATGCCTCGTCCACCAGTGCCGTGCTAGAAGGAGGCGACGAGATGGAGTCAAGAAGAAGAAGAAAAAGTCGTTGGCTTCTCGCGTCAAAAAGAGCATTGTGGGCAGCAAAAAAGACAAGGAGAAGAAAGAAGAAGAAGAAAAGGAAAACGCCGAAAACAACAATCACAAAGACGAGACTATTACTACGACTTCGACCGTTCCACAAGATTCATTTTCCAATACCCTGGGCATGACCGCCGCAGAAGATACGTTAAAGTCTGGTACGGATGACGCAAGTGTTGCTCCCATTCATCAATCTCATCATCAAGGTGCGGCCAGTAAGGGCATCGGGTCGATTGCCAGGCGTGTGGGGCGGAAACTGTCTCTCAAACCCAAGGAACGACCGTTGCCGCTGCCGATGACCATTGACATTAAGGATCCTTCGGCAGCAACAAACACAGACGACGATCAACAAGACAACAATAATAATCATCGTCGACTGCCGTCGAGAAGTGAAAGTTTACTTGGAAGGAAGAAACCCAGCAAAGAAAAGGAATCCAAACCGCTTGCCACCGAAACAGCCACAGAAGAAGACGATGTTGACGGTGGTGACAAAAACATGGAGTCTGCCAGCGGTGGAATGGACATTCATTGCAAGGCACCATTGACGGTCAAAAGGAGTAAAAAGGCTAAGCTGTCGGCTCTGGCACGGACTCTGGCGGGACGAAAGCAATCCAAAAAATTGCAAATGGCAAAACTCCATGATTCCTTCATGACCATGGGGACAGCCGATCGGGCCATTTTGGAAACGAACCAAGCCATGCAAGAGGCATTGAAGGAATTCGGTTTGGAGGCGGCAGACGATGGAAAGATAATGGCTGTCACCGACGAATTCGACGATGACTTGGAATTGATTGAGGGACTGGAAAGCGATCCGGGCTTGCAGTTGAACTTGATGAAATCGTTTGCTCAGTTGGATTTCATTGGTATGGGGCTGGTCGGTGCTGAAGATGATGACACCTCGGAACATGAAGACGATCCTATTGGTGCCATGAAGAATAGTCAAGTCTTGACCAATGCATGCACCGCAGATTCGGAACAACCGTTGTCTATTTTGTCTTCGTCCAAATTGGGTGGGTCCAAACCGGAGTTGGTGGTTAGACGAAACAAGGGAAGTCAGCCCAAATCGTCCAAGAACAAAGATGACCATCGAGACGAAGGCACGCCTGCCCTCAGGAGACGAAGGAAGAAAATGCTTGCACGGTCTCAAACAGAAGGGGAGCGGGCAACCGCAGAGCCCTTTGATTGGGAAAAGCATGCAGGAAGGCGTCGGCGCAGCCAGTCCCTGACAACCTTGAGAGCAAATGCACAGAGACAGAAACAGAGATTCCCCAAGAACATGCCACGAGGTGGCCCATCCGACAACATCAACCCCTACAACAACAATGACAAGGCGCAGCATTCGAAGGACCTTGACGACAGCGAGGGTTCGTTTGATGCCTCCGTTTTGTCCGAATCTGTAGAGGCAGAACAGGAAAACGATGAACGCGTCGGGGCGTCTCTGCCGGCAATCTTGCAGCATTCTCACAACAGCAGTCAGCGCTACAGCAATGGACATGCCAGCACGCCCGAGGTGAAAGTGCAGTAGTTCCCATGATGAATGCGATTGTTCGTCCTCCAGATGGTGCTGCATGAGCCATCGTTAGAACTGGAATTCACAGAGAACTATTGAAGGTCAAAACTAACTACTAGCTAGTACGCATTTATTTCTGGTTTTCTTTCGACATGCAACGAATTCGGGGCACACGTTGCCGCTGCGTGGCTATCGTCATTCCAACTGAGTTACCCCTTGCGTAGTGTGTTCAGCTACTGCCTCTCGCCTTACTTGGTGGCTCGCTCAGCTTCAGCTGGCTTTCCTCCTTGGCGGGTTTTCGCTTCCCCAAGGCTCCATTCTGATTGAAAAGTTGGACCATCCACATTCCAACATCCGTCGAACCAATCACCTTGCCCCGATTGCTCAGATAAGGCCCATCGATAATCTCGACAATGGAGCCGACACCAATGGGCCCTCCATCTGTAGCAGAAGACACGTTGGCCTCTTGGCTTGGAGAGCTGGTTGGGGCCTGATCCCCATCGCCTGCAGCAGAAACAATCACAGTGGAGCAATAGTAAGCAACCTGGAATGGAATAACATGGAGCGCAAGAAGAAGATCAGCCGACCACTCACTCTTTCCCAGCTTTGTCTCTGATGCTGGTGCAGCAACAACGGCTGCAAGCAAGCAAAGAAGTAGTGAGCAACGGTAGTGACAGAAACTGCAGAGCACAAACGGACACCAGAGAACAACATGAGCAATGAAACGAATAGGAGCTTACCTGATGCTGCTGCACCACTGCCACCTCCAAACGTGAATCCTCCAACTCCAATTGCTGAGCCAGCAGCACTGGAAGACGCATCATCTTTGTTGGCAGCATTCTCGTATCCAGAACGAGGAGCCTCACAAGACATGCATTGTGTGGTATCTTGATGGTTTTGCACCATGCACACATCGCATTTCCATGCGTTCTTGTCCAGAACATTCTTAAAGGCATCACCCCACCCACCCTTTGGTGGACTCACTGCTGCTGGAGCACTGCGGCTTTCCGGCTGAACTTGATCATCTGTGTTCTCTTCACTTCCTGCAATGGATCCATCGTCATCTCCAAACATCCAATCAATGTAGAAGTCGACAAACTCATCCAGGAGAATCTTGCCAGGTTCTGACACAAGCTTCTTCAGCTTCACCCCATGGTCCTCTTCACAGTAGGTGGATCCCAACAAAGAAAAGAGTTTGTGGAGTTGTGAGAATGACACAACATCTCCGTTGTCTTTTGTAGCCAAGTCCATGAAAGCCTTCTCTGCCTTCTCCTTTTCTTCCTCAATGTCTGAGTCATCATTTGATTCGTCGTCGTCGTCTCCAGCGTCTTCAACCAGTTCCTGATACCACTTGATAAATGCTGAGCGCTCCAGCATGCCTGAATCTGAGGGATCAATCAGCTTGCTTTGCTTATCCATTTCCTCTCCATGGAAGCCCTCGCCCAAGTCATCAATAAGGTCTTCAAAACTGCTGACTGGGAGCGACCCTTGCTTGTCAGAATCGAAGGAATCAAACACACCAGCAGCCTTCTTGGCAGCTGAAGTGGCAAAAGGACAATAACCACAGCAGTGAGTTATGGAAGGCACGGCATGAAACGAAAACAAGGCATCACTAGTTAACTTACTCTTCTGTTGTTGGCCAGGGGTGGGACGACGGAAGCTCTCTTTTTGTTGCACGCAGCAGGCAACGGTTCGCCAATAGTTGCCGTGGCAGGCATAGTCGTAAAAGCACTGCTCGTTCCAGAAGAACTAGCTGGCTCGGCTGTTGCAGTAGATGCAGGAGCCCCAAAAGGAGTTGGCACCGTGGTAGACATTGGTGGATAGGCACTGCGCTACCAGAAGAACTAGCTGGCTTGGCTGTATTGCAGGACTGCCACAAGTGACAGTTGGTGCTTGGTAGACATTAGTTCGGAACGTGCTGCACAGAGAACTAGCTTGGCTTGGCTTTGCGGGCTCCAATGGAGTGGGTGGCTTGGCAAGACTTGGTGAATAGGCACTGTCTACCCCAAAGAACTAGTGACTTGGCTGTTGCAGGAGCTCCCAAAAGGAGTGGGTGGCTTGGCAGACATTGTGTGGATAGGCACTGCCTACCAGAAGAAAATAGCCGGAGTCCAAAGGCTAGCTGGGTGGCTTGGCAGACATTGGTGGATAGGCACTGCTACCAGAAGAACTAGCAGGAGCTCCAAAAGGAGTGGGTGGCTTGGCAGACATTGGTGGATAGGCACTGCTACCAGAAGAACTAGCTGGCTTGGCTGTTGCAGGAGCTCCAAAAGGAGTGGGTGGCCTTGGCAGAACATTGGTGGAGTAGGCACTGCTACCAGAAGAACTAGCTGGCTTGGCTGTTGCAGGAGCTTCCAAAAAGGAGTGGTGCGCTTGG